GCATTTCGCGAGGTGCAAGGGCAGGGTGACCAGCCGCAGCCCTAGATACCAGCACATGGCATAATTCGAAAGAGCCCAAATCGACGAAGGGATGTTTCCCGTGGAAGTCCAACCTAAGGAAAACACTTCAACCTTACTTGGATCCATTATGCCGAATAAATTACGGAATAGGAGAGACAGACTGATCAGTCTAATCCACAAGGTATCTGATGAGGGGAAGTAACCAAAGCGCCCGAGTGTTTATTCAGAACGGACACGTAACGTCTTCGGGAGTCTTTTTGGTTGCTTCCGAAAGCCTCAATACGGTCGAAAGACTTAGGTGAAACCCGGAATACAACGCCATTGAGGAGACTATTTATGAATGTCAATTCAGACAGTGGATCTCGTCCGTTTATTTAGGAGTAGCTACCATCGCACATCGTTAACCGTCTCACCGAGGTTTCCGATACTCGCTCACCCTTGAGCTGATTCAGCCCGACCGCCAAGCACTTTGCCGGGATGCGGCAGCTAACAAATTGCTTCACGTCTTGGAGTCACATGTGAATGTTGGGCATAATGGAAACCAGAGGTGTAATATAGTTCTAGGGGACGGTAGTCTACTAGGTAACAGGTACTATTCTCATCAGTTATACATTATACCACGTTCATGTGCGGCGAAATGATCACAGATAAATTGCACAAAACATGGTTGACTACTATATCTGAAAATACTGCTTTCAACTATGAACGAGTAGTCATTGGCAGTAAAAAGATGACGGCTCGGTCGTCGTAAGGTGCTCTGAATAATGATGCTGGTTTAGCCGGATCTGGACTCAGATGTGTGAAATAAAAAATAAATACGCCGGATCGAGGAACCCATGCCGAGTTTGATTTTTTGAACAGACACGTTGATATTGATATCTCATAACTTCACTCACTTAGTATCAGTTAATCACAACGTTGGAATAGGATGTTAGAAGTGAATAATATGGAATGGGGGAAAATGAACAGGACGTACCTGAACTTTGTTTGGCCGATTTTTTAGTATGCGTCGGTTGCGGATGAGCATGTTGTTGTTGTTGCTGTGTCTGTTTCCCATGCGCATCATCACCACCACCACTGTTACCCTTCTTGGCCTTCTTGTTTTTCTGTGGGGCTTCGCTTGTCAATGGCTTAGTTGAATTCTGTACGGGTTGAGTTGTTGTATGACTATGGCTATGTCCAGGACCACGTTGGAACACCCGAATGAGCTTTTCTATGCACAGAAACAGGAAAATGCCAGACACAATTGAGATGCCAACAATCATGTGTTGTTTATGATCATGCTCCTCGGGTCCCTCGTGGTGGCGATCAATAGCGTGCGGGATCAGGTGAAGAAATGCATCACCCAGTAACCCCCCAGCTGCAAATGCTAAAAAGATTTTGAGCAGAGACTGACGCTTGGCCAAATCTGGCATCAGACAAAGCAGGAGAAACGGGGCCAGACTGATCAGAACGACAGCAACGGAAGTCTCAGCCCACAACTGTTGTGCGGATTCCGAACGCATGTTTCTTTTGGCCGTATAGCCCAAATGAGCCATTCTACACAAAAAAGCGGAACGGAACAAGATTGAAGTGATGTGACAGCAGAGCGTGATGCAATCTAGACACGAAAGCCTACAACTCTCAAGGATCATGTATATGAAAGAAAGTTTTTCAACCCAAAACAGTTTATCAGGCATACAGGTGGTCACATAACTAGTTTTGTTTGGTTCCAGTGAAGTCACGTAACCACCTGATGCACAGCGATGAGTAGGTGCATACTCAGCAGTCATACAACCAATACGTGTAGAACAGGAGGTGGGATAGAGTGGGAAAAGTCACAGTAGAAAAGACAACAGAAAAAAACTCGACAACCACATTGATTCTTCGAACTTACACCTTCCTCGGACCAGGTGCGGCGATTTCTGGATTGTTATGAAATCTGTAAAAGGCAACTATTATTTTCACCTTTTCATTTAGGGTGTCAAAGACAACAATCAGGTGACATCTGCCAGCTGATTTAAAGACTTGGATTTTTTCGAAGAATGGAAGGATCAGTAAACATCCAGTTTGTTGCATTTTTGATCATAAGTTTATCATATCAAGGAGAGAATCAACAAACTATGCTTTGGATGGATATTTCCTTATTTCCTGAGTCGAGTGGTTTATGGTCATGGACTCTTTACTGTGGAAACCATCAGAAATTTCTCGGCGAAAAATTTTCAATAAAGACCCTAAAAAATTACCGGCGGTTTTCAAATTAGTAGTATTGCTTTTCAAACTTTACAGTTTAGATTACCTAGCAAAACATGGTACATCTTCACCAGTGTGCAGCGCGATACAGAGAAGCGAACTTCACTGATCGCTACCCAAATCGTTACGTAAAAGGTTAAGGGTAATATTCAAAGTGGGCATGCATTGGACTTATTTTGAGGAAGGCGAAAGAAGGTAAACCTCTGTGGTCAACACAGAGAGTACAACACAGCATTATGCATACATACCGTCTGGCCTGACGAGAAATGACAAAGAGAACGCCACCACTGTCGGTTCGCTGCCATATCCTTCAATGTCTCCAACCAGCCAATTGCGGTGTCTTTCGGACCACAACCTGGAAGACGGGAGACACTTATTCCACCTGATCACTCTGAGCATTTATATATGCCTCGTCTCCACGTCATCTGTTGACCTCAACGTGGTTTCCTCCAGCACCGATTAGCTACAGCGAATAAAGCGCGGTGCGGCAGATGACAGCTGGGTGTACGCAATACGTGCCCTAGCCAGCGAAACCTAGTAATCTGAATTCGATGTGCTAGCAGGGTTGTCCCTAATAGACTCCCAAACACACGACTTACCCCCAGATTACTAACCCGTTTGCTCCATCCCATATGGGCACAACTAGGTAAACACCGACAATCGAAAACTTATGCTCGATGGATATCTCCCACTCGCAAAATCAAGGTCTCACAACCATAAAGCAGAACTGAAGGAACGGTAGCATAATATACACCACCTTTCAACTTTAGTGAAACGTCGCGTCTACGCCAAAGGTGTTTCAGTCCTGCATGTGCTGCTCGTGCCTTGGATATGCGGGCGGTTATCTCCTTTGCTGCGCTACCGTCATTGGTCAAGTAATTCATCACAACTAATTTCTGACCATTTAGCTTCAACGCAAGAGTGCGCGAAACCAAGTTTTGTAATATCACTTTGTACGTTGAAGGTGCAAAGCAAATACCGAATGTGGCAAAAGCACTCCCTAGTCTATGAAGCGTGCTTTGCGCATCATCCGTACATTCGAGCAGACAGACAGTCTTCACGATCCTTCCTTCCATGAGCTGACGTTGCAGATGCCAACTAGCCGTTTTTATCCTGGCAGGATGGGATTTGTCGCTTTTTCTCCATCTACTGACTTATCAGATATCCAATGCCTCCGTCGGGTTTGAGGTTCAGACCCACAAGCGACATTCGCTGCGGAATGCATTGCTCACCCAATCTGATCCTAATGCTCACCTACATCATCACGTTGAAGCGCGCTTAGCTCTGACTCATAGCACTAGAATAGACAGATGATGAGCTAATCGACTTTGCTGGTTTTGTTGCTGGTAGGGAGTCGGGGAGTGAACTATACTGTATTGTAATGGATTGGGTAGGCAACTTTATCTACATTTCAGTCTGCATCAAAACTAATCCGTGGTCAGGCTCAACGCGGGTGGTCCAACAGGACCTGAAATTGTACACTGAACAACGTCAACGGTAGCTTATGGCTATGTGGTCGATGTGAGTAAGCGTACCAGTTGAACTGGAGTGCCACAATGCCGTCTGTCGAGAGCTGTGTCGGAAGTTGATGCTGGATAGGAACAGATGATGATTTGTGTAGAATTGAAGAAATCGATCGCCGTTATTGGTTCGTTGGCAGGGCAGAGCACAACTACCGGACACAGAATATACCAATTATTTAGTGGTAAACTACTTACGATACAGTTGGGCAACGACCTTTGGTGAGTGAAGAACAAGTTACCTAATAGGATGTTATTTATCGGAAGAACGGGCAGCGAAGAGGGTTGTCTATAGAAGACAAACAGCTAAACAAAGGTTGGGATATCTGAGCAGTAGCCCATTTATCACTATCTACCCAGTTCGATGCAATGGGCAGTGTGGTCTTGATTATCCTGCGCGAAGACCAACCGACTGAAACGCAAATTCTAGTCGAACCCCCAATCTGGATGACTAGGAGAGTGGACTTTGTCTGACCTCTACCCTTCGACCTTCCTGGCATGATTAGATCTTTGGCTCAACAAAAGCCATCCTGTGTAGCTCGTTGGGTCACAGAGATGCACAGGTCAGGAGACCACGTCAAGGTACAGTTTCGTCGTGGTCGGCGTACAATCCAGCCAGCGTTTTGTACTTAATACAGTTAATCTGTTCAACGATGCTTCACCGTAAGCCCTTACGGAACCGTAATTATGTGAACACAGACTGAAAAGGACCTCACAATCAGCTGTTTGATGGCTTCAACAACTGAGTGGGGGAAAACATTTCAGGTTGTTACGTAAGAAAAATCCTGACCAAGAGGAACATGTAGTTGTGGAAAGACATCTACTAACCAGAAGAAAAAAGCAAATGGAGAAACAGCGGGTCAAATATCCTATTGTTGATGACTTACTTAATATTAACATCTCGCAGATACTTCAAATGCAATGGCTCATGCTCATGAGCGTGCGAATGCCCGTGTGTGTGTCCATGCTCGGGTTGATGGGTGTGTTCATGAGAGTGTACGGTCAGAACACACAGGATAAACAGAAGGAATGGTATGCGCAACATGGACCGTGACGCTTCCAGCGAATGGGCTGAATTAGAAATAAAGGTATGATTAACGCACAGAAACAAAATGCGCATTCGTCTGTTTTGGCGTTCTCCACACACACACACACACACACACACACACACACACACACACACACACACACAC